CCGGCCTTCGAAAGAACATATTCATTTTGTTTAGTGATCATGAATTTTAAGACCATGACGGAGAGCTTGGGATTAAACCCATGATTTTCTGCTCAGTAAGCAAAAACGATCCCTCCAGGGTCATCGAGCATCTCAGAACCATAACGCTTCGCGAAAATACAGGACTACGTTTTCGCTTGATATGCAAATAGTTTCCGAGGTTAATGTTCAATATCAAATATACAAATGATGGTGGCGATTTATTGTGCTGTGATTTTCTGCTCAGTAAGCAAAATCAATCCCTCCAGGGTCATCGAGCATCTCATAATCCACAGCGCTTCGCGGCAAAGTACGAATATATGGATGAACAATCTATTATTGAATAACTATTATTTACGATAATTACATGCAAGAAATAAAATATAAACTACAAAAAAAACGTGACTACTAAAATCTCAAAAAGATATTCTCACAAATATATTTCATCTCAAAACCATTTGACGCCAGGAATCTCAAAACCATTAGACGCTCTAATGATACTCCGCACATGTTAGACACAAGAAAAGGCCAAAAAGCAAGCGTCCGACACACAAAACCCTCCAGATCCACTTGCAGTCACAATCAAAGAGGTCCGTGTGGTATTTAATGAAAAAATGTCCTTTAAGCACTAATATATTCTGAGGAAAGTTATAGCTGAGGGGTTGTGTGGCCAAAACTGGGTAGGCACCAAGGGGTAGGTCACTCCGCACACCAATCTTCGGTCATCTTTTTTGTCAGTGTGCCGCAAGTATGCCGATTGTGCCGGTCATAGAGCAAGCTGCGATTGTTTGTAAAATACCCATCCCGGCAACTCGGTATTTCTGACACCTTGAATGTTTTGGTTTGAAATTGCAAGGATTAATCGGATTGAGGATGACGCGGGAAGTGACGGGTGTGTGAACTTTCGGTGTTTTGTGATCCATAGGGTAAAAGTCCTGTGTTTTAGTGTTGTATAATGCCCTAAAAGGCAGACCAGAAATCTAGCCTTTCGGCCGGAAAGAGTTGGAACCGGTGGGGAGCATTGTTAGAGACCGACTATAGAGCGTGATGAATATACTTCTTTAGTTTGTTTTGTGTGATTTGCAGCATTATTTGAATTAAAGGTACTAATGAGGTCTGATTAACTGGCTCTTCCTCTTGAGTCTACTCTAGAACCTACATTTAATATTTAGATCTATAAGTGAACTACTGGTCTGAAGTTTTCTAATATATTAAATTAGAAGATGTTCCTGAACATAAGTTAAATAGCATGTAATGTTCTGAATAACTTCAATGACAGCTGTCCAGCAGTGCTCCCATTTTATTTACAACAATCTAATGCCCCGAGATTGTGCCGAAGGTATGCCGAAAATGTGCCGATGGATGGGCCCAAGCTGTGTAGAATATAATTCAGGCACAATGTGCTGAGTGACTTACCCCTTGGTAGGCACTGCACCTGGTATTTTTTTGCAAATTACTGGAAAATCAGGGAATTTTGTTTTCTTCGTTGAGTCGACACCCTGGCCAAGTTGGCAAAATTGCTGGATGTGGCCAAATCGACCGTGACAAACGTTTTAAAAGTGTTCGGGGAGCGTCTGTCGACCGCCAGGAACCCTGGAAGCGGCGGCAATCGTAATCCGGACGTGGCAGCGACGACAGATAAGGTAGCGGTGAAATATAAGCGGAATCCTAACCTCTCCATCCCGGACGTCACTGGCAAGCTCATTGTCTCCCATACTACCATGCAGCGGGCCAAGAAACGAGCCGGTTTGTCGACGTTTAAGAAGGTGGTGAACCAAGATTACAAACAAAACACGTCGGCAAAGCAGCGGTCCCAAAAGCTGTATACGAATCTGCTCATAAAGTTCGACTGTGTCGTCATGGACGACGAACCTTATGTGAAGGCGGATTTCAAGCAGCTTCCGGGACAGGAGTTTTATACCGCATCAGGAAAAGGGAAGGTGGCTGAAAATTTCAAAACTATCAAACTATCGAAGTTCCCGAAAAAAAATATCTCGGCTGGCAGGTCTAAAATGCGGCATTTTCTTTAATGCGGGAACCATCCATCAAGGGATCTACGCCCAGGAGTGCGCAACATAATAGACTTGTGCTGTTCTGGCCGGACTTGGCGAGTTGGCGCTTTGGGAAAAAGGCAATCGAGTGGTAGGATGCGAACAACGTGGTTGTGGTACCCAACGACCACAACCCTCCCAACAGCCCATAACTCCGCCCTATCGAACGGTATTGGGCCTTGGTCAAACGGAATCTCAAAAAAACTAATCAATCCATGGAAAACGAGCAGCAGCTTAAATCTAACTGGCGTTCGGCGGCGAATAAGGGCGATGAGACCACTGTGCAAAATTTAATGGAAGGGGTTAAGCGGAAGGCACGGAAGTTCGGATTTGGCAAACCAAAAGAATAAACGAACATTTTTTCCTTTAAATATATGAATTGAACTTGGTTTGTGCTTTCAAATGATTAAGGAGTACAACACTCCACTAAAATTAATTATGGGTCACCGGATCATAATTGGTTGTTCCTGTTGATGGAACAGGGGATTTTCGTACCAGCAACAACAGTGAAAGATCGAGAAATTGCAAGTATTGCCCTCTTTCTTTGCACTGTTTATGCTTCGTTGAATTTCAACGATCGACAATTAGTTTTAATTCACTGAATTATTGTGCGCACTTTACTCACATGCAGTGCATCTTGTTGATACAAGATGACCAACACGGTAATCCCGGGATTTCATGGGTTTATGCAGGCAGATCTTTTTTTCCTTGGTTTGTTTTCCGTCGATTAAAAGAAAGCACAATGAAAGCAAAAATCTAACTGCACAAAGAACACGATCCTATTTCTAGTCTCGGTTCTAAACATTTATTATTTTCTAAATAACAATGTAAATAACAAAAATATTTTTCAAGATTCAACGTAATTCTTAGTTAGAGTGGTAGCCAAAAGATATTTCTAATTAATAATAATAAATTGAAAAGTTAGCTGAGCACAAACGTCTTGTGAAATGCTTTATAACATTAAATCAAGGATGATTTTTCATAGCGTCAAAACGTCACTTCGATGAAACTCTCAGTGTTCCCACGTAAACTACCACCACTTTTCTGATGGTGTTGGTTTGCGTAAGAGTGGTGAAAGTTTCGCCGAATTTATGTTTGAGTTTTAGTTTAAAAAAGCACTTTAGTTTATCATCACAAAAAAAAAAACTTTTCCAACTAAATGGGCCGAAAGAATCTAAAAAAGGCCTCCACGTTTAGATTAAGCATGGAACTTTAAGTTAATGACCCAAGGAATCCAGTAACTCTCAGGAACCAGGTCTCAAATTTTTCAACAACTGTTACCTCATTCAAAAACGGTGTCGAATATCGATTTCTAATCACTTCATGTTGTTCCTCTTCCGGAAATATTCAAACTAAAATCATAATCTTCGTAGATAATTCTCAAAATAGAGCTAAAGGGAGACCTTATTATTACTTGGGCCACATAGTGAAAACATTTTGAACTTATATGTCTAGCACCTGGAAGGTCATGGTCAACACTTTATTCAAGATACTAATTTGAGACATGGGAAATATTTCAAGATATTGCATAATCAAGAAACTCACACATAGCAACGCGTAGTGTAAAACATTCAGCTACCAATTATAAATAAAGGGCGATTCAATAATGAAGTCCACATATATTATATATCAATTTTATCCCTTTGACCTGCGTCACGCTTTTTCCAATAACTATTACACGTGCTGTCCTGAATTCTAAGATCGCCCCTCTCCCTAAATTGTGGGTTTCATATTTGAATCGCCCTGTTGTATGATTTACTGAGCTAGTTGGACAAATGCGCTATTTTTGAATTAAACATTTCAATACGTCTCATTGATCGATTCTCTGAACCATTTTTTATATCGTTGCAAAAGCTTCCACTGCTGTGATTGTTATTATATGTGGTAGATTTGTATTATATTACATTTTTTTAAGCCTCATTTAGATTTGTGGATAAAGGAGCACAGCTAAAATTAAGATCATGCTGGCGATGGCTGAGTTCTCATTCCGGTCCAGTCAAAGAATTTTCGGGTTGGAAAACTTCTCGACTTCCTTGGGAATGATTGTGCTTGCCACACAATATCCATTAACAACAGTGGAAGTGCTCAAAGGACACTAAGTTGAGGGGATTACAGGCAAAGGGGTACAAGTGATTTTGATCGATTCTCTTCATCGACTTTCTCTTTTGATAATTACGGCTGTACCAACCAACTTCACACTATTTCTGCTACATAGTTTGATAAAGGAGGTTATCATCTTTCATGCAGGATAGCAACCTCATGAAGGATTATGTTTGCCGCTGAGTTATTAACGAAAGACAAAGTCGACGAAGAAAATCAATCCAAATCACTTGCACCCCTTTGCCTCTAATAATCTCAGTAATCAAGCGTAAAGTTATAGTTGGGACATAATAATCAAAGAATAAAAAGAAGATTTTTTTTTAATTTAAACCATTTGGCACAAATAGCATGAAGCATGTTTGCAAAACTATAGTTACTCAATTATAATATCGAATGAATCGTGAAATTAATAGATAAATGCAAACAGGACCTCTTGAAATATTAATCGTGATATGTGTACATGATAAATACAAAAAAAAAAACTGTTTGTACAATTTTTGTGAGCTTTAAAACAACAGTTCGTATCAAGCAGGATGAACTGTAAAGCTAACGGTAATTTCAAAACGTTGCAACGCGTTGTTAGAAATTATACCATTTTATTCCAGATTAAACTGGCATAAACGAACACGCTAAATATAAAACAATTAGAGAAAGAAAAAGGTTGGTAAGTTACTGTACTAACTGGAGCACCTAGACTAAAATGAAATGTAATTCAATTTGAATTTAGAAAAAAAATCGCATTTGATAATGATTTTGCATTCACGAACGCAGTAAGGTCTACATGATTCTCGACTCTTTGAAATATTTGACAAACAACCTCGTATTAGTTACCTGCTTCGCCGGTGCTAACTTTTAAGGTATCCTCATTTTCCATGAATATTACCCCCGGAAGCTGCGCTTGAAATTTGTTCTGCATTCCTTTCATCATAAAATCATCAACATCACTTAAATTCCCACTTGGCACAGTTTTATTACTTCCCATTATCACCGAATTCCACTTGATCTCGGTCACATTGGTTGGATCGTTCTTTAACGATTGTTTACTTTCCAAGCCGGGATGTTCAAGGGTACACCGATCTAGCATCCTGTTACACTGTTGCTTCTCGGGGGTCGCCGTTGAGGCCACGAGTAGCCCCAACAAGCCAATCACTATATTAACATACATTGTTATATTCGCTTGTTGCGTCGTATACCATTCATGGATTGATTAACTTTTCACTTAACTCACTTGTCGACTTAAAATATACTCCCCCGAAGGGTGTTTCACTTTACCGCGGTGATTATCACAGATGTCGTAATTTTCGCATTTTTATTCGTTCTAACTCCCCGAGGAACACTTTATGAATTTTTCAAATTTGTTCTATTCATCTTAAATCTATCTTTGCTATTGACTATGGGATGCTGCAGTGGGGACGTAGGCGTCAATCCTTTATTTTGATCGCGTGTGGATGACTTGGGTAACAAGTTTATATCGACGTTAATCCCGGCTTCATGAGCAGGAACACTATCCGTTCAGAAGTTCGATAAAGACTGACGCAGTCGTGATACCGTCCATGTGACTACATAACTTTGCACCTATAGAAACGACTGCCTCTAGCTAACAGCAGCAGCAGCAGCAGCAATAGCTAGCATCGGATCGGATCTAGTTGATATTCATTGCACACTCCGTATCTACCATGGCGTATTGCACGCTATAAAGTAACATATTGGGATATCTGGTGGCAGGTGGAAATCAGCATTCGCATTTTTTTCTCGGCTTTGCTCGCCATACGTACGTACTTATGCTTAAATTGCGCGAAAAAACGTTTTTCAATGTCGCATTGCCACGCTGATTGTTGATTAGAGAAAAGAACGATTTCTAGGTTGACACCCCTCGGGTGAGGTTGCTTTGCACAGATTGAGGCTTTTGTTTGTATTCCTAGTGCACAAATAATTATATGATGCAATTTGTTATACTAGATTGTAATCACTGTAATAAACTGTTGACATTTTGAACAAGGATTCGTTATAAATTGATATTACTTAGTAGATTATATTTTTTTCCGATCGATTTATCATCATGACGTTGCCCAGCATTATCCATTGCTTTAGATGTAACTTTTTATGATTTCTAAAACTTGATTAGTGTGTTATAGTCACTTTAATGGCAACCCTAAGTATGCACTTTTATACCCATAAAAAGTTGAAAAATATTCCTTTAAAACACCCAAATGATCATTTAAAAGCGGTAAAAATCCCTAAAACAAAGTGAAAATGATCCATAAAAAATGTCACTGATCCATATTTTATGTAAAATTTAGCAACACAATTGTAAAAAATGTACCGCAAAATTTCTTAAGTATGAGCTTTGAAATTGTACGAATTACTCATAAACATATTGCAAATGGTCCATAAAATGTTCAACAATGATCCATTGCGGATTGCAACGATTTTTGCCTGAAATTATTAATTATTTTGTTGGACATTTGTTATAAAGTCTCAACATTCGAAATTCTATGTACTTCTATGCAGATTGTATTTCCTGTTTATAAGAGGATACACACATTTTATATATTTATTACATTTGGCTTGAATGCCCTCAATGTGATCTTTAAAAGTTAATTTTTGGTCAAGCACTAATCCAAGATATTTCACTTGGTTTGACCAAGAAATTGAAACTCCGTTCATAGTGACTATGTGACTACTACTAGGTTTCAAAAAGGAAGCCCTGGGCTTATGTGGAAAGATTATAAGTTGAGTTTTGGAAGCGTTGGGAGAAATCTTCCATTTTTGTAAATAAGAAGAGAAAATATCTAAACTTTTCTGAAGTCCGCTGCAAATAACACGAAGACTTCTTCCTTTAGCGGAAATGCCTGTGTCATCAGCGAACAAAGATTTGTGGCAACCCTGAGGCAAATCAGGGAGGTCCGAAGTGAAAATGTTATACAATATAGGCCCAAGAATGCTACCCTGAGGAACTCCTGCTCTAACAGGTAGTCGATTAGATTTGGAATTTTGATAATTTACCTGCAGAGTTCTGTCAGTTAAATAATTTTGAACTAATTTCATAATGTAAAGTGGAAAATTAAACTTTTTCAATTTAGCAATCAAACCTTCATGCTTTTTCTATGTCTAGAAGAGCAACTCCAGTTGAGTGGCCTTCAGATTTGTTTGAAAGAATTAAATTGGTAACTCTCAAGAGTTGATGAGTAGTTGAATGCCCATGGCGAAATCCAAACTGCTCATCTGCAAAAATTGAGTTCGTATTGATGTGAAGCATCATTCTATTTAAAATTATCTTTTCAAAAAGTTTACTTATTGAAGAAAGCAAACTTATTGGACGGTAGCTACAAGCTTCAGCTGAAATTTTATCCGGCTTCAAAATTGGAACAACTTTTGCATTTTTCCATTTATCAGGAAAGTATGCCAAATGAAAACATCTGTTAAATAATTTTACCAAGAAAGACAAGGTACTCTCTGGGAGTTTTTTTATGAGGATATTGAAAATTCCATCATCACCTGGAGCTTTCATATTTTGAAACTTTTTAGTTATAGACCTTATTTCGTCCAAATCAGTCCCCCAGGAATCATCAAAAATATTTTCGCGAGAGAAAATATTCAGATAATCCCGAGCAACCTGATTCTCAATAGGACTAATAAGACCCAAACTGAAATTATGGGAAGTGTCGAATTGCTTAGCAAGTTTCTGAGCTTTTTCCAAATTTGTGATCAAAATTTTACCACCTTCTTTAAGCGCTGGAATAGGCTTTTGAGGTTTTTTCAAAATTTTTGTGAGTTTCCAAAAGGGTTTGGAACTTGGGTCTAATTTAGAAACATTATTTTCAAAAGTTTTGTTCCTCAGAACAGAGAATCGTTTTTTAATTTGTTTTTGTAAATCCCGCCAGATAATTTTCATGGCAGGATCGCGTGTTCTTTGATATTGTCTCCTATGGACATTTTTAAGACGGATCAAGAGCTGAAGATCATCGTCTATTATAATTGAATCGAATTTAACCTCGCATTTTCGTACTGAAGCAGCTCTTGCTTCAACTATAGAAGTAGTCAGAGATTCAAGAGCATAATTAATTTCATCTTTGGTTTGCAAAGGAATTTTTGTATCGAAGTTATATTCCATATATGTTCGATTTTGCTCCCAATCAGCTCTATGGGATATTTCTTGGGATATTTCAAAAGTTACTGGAAGATGATCAGAGCCGAAGTCAGCATGGGTAACCAATTGGCTACAAAGTTGACATGAATCAGTTAAGACCAAATCAATAGTTGAGGGATTTCTTGCTGAAGAAAAGCATGTTGGGTTGTTGAATATTGAATAGTGTAATAACCTGCAGAACAATCATCAAGCAGAATATAACCATTGGAAGTGCTTTGAGCATTATTCCATGAGCGGTGTTTTGCATTAAAATCACCAATAATGAAGAATTTAGACCTATGACGGGTAAGTTTCTGGAGGTCACCCTTGAGAAAATTCTTTTGCTGGCCTACGCATTGGAATGGCAAATAGGCAGCTATAAACGTAAGTTGTCCAAATTTTGTTTCAACAGAAACACCCAAAGTTTCAAAAACTTTGGTTTCAAATGAAGAGAGAATTTTATGTCTGATTCGTCTATGAACAATGATGGCAACGCCACCACAGGGTCCATCAAGACGATCATTTCTATAAATGAAATAATTTGCGTCCTTCTTAACCTTATGGTCAGGTTTAAGGAACGTTTCAGTTATGGCGGCAATATGCACGTTATGAACTCTCAAAAAGTTAAATAGCTCGTCGTCATTATCTTTAAGAGATCGAGCATTGCAACTTAAAATAATTACTGAATTATAAAGTCATGACAATATTGTTGGCAAATTTTACTCCAGTTAGAATAGCATCAAACATGGAGTTGGGTTTAAGCATATCAGAAATTATGTCCAGGGTTACTTCCACTCACTTGCTATAAAAATGTTTTTCAGAAATATAAAATCATGAGATGGAATAGTGATAATTAGTACTTGTAAGTTACAAGATGAGGACGTGAAGTATGTGTTTGATACATAAAATCTGTCAATATTGCTCACAAACAGCAATTTTACGACTCGTGAGTGAACGCTCACGAATCATAAGATCGCTTATTATCATGCTCTGAAAGCAAAATTTACCGGTTTTATGAGTCAAACACATACTTTAAACCCTCTTCTCGTTACTTACAAGTACAGCATATCATTATATCATCTAATGATTGCATAATTCCGAAAAATATGTTTTTATAGCAAGTGAGTGGAAGCAACCCTGAGGGGGAGAGGTAGCTCATCGATTCTTCCGGTTCGCCTCCTAGCATCGTGCTATAAGGTACCAGGCGATAATCAGGGTAGTTAATCGATAGCTCGATGACGTCATTTCGTTGGCGTCTGCAATGGGAAATTCTCATAGCAGGCGTTGACGATGGGACGTTGTCGAGTTGTTGAATAGCAACTATCGTGGTAACTCACCGATTACCTGTCGATCTGCCAAATTTGGAAAGACGTCTGCATTGAATTGTCTCATATAATAATATTCCGCCCACTATATCACAAGAAATTGCGAGTAGCTGAGTGGAATGGAGATAAGTTAAGCATTGGGTACAGGACCAAGTCTCCCCTGGGTGGTGCCAAAAGATGAGCGCAATAGAATCATCAAGTTGTCATGAGGCACGGAATGAGACTATTGCATGGCTGGGTAGTCAAAGTCTTCCATCCGTTAGTCATTTCAGGTGGATTAGAACAGGTTTAGGTGGGCGTTGGCCAGATTTGGATTTTTCAGATGTAATCCTGGATAGGACCCTGTCATTGAACGTCGCGTGAAAGTGGAACTTAATGAAGGCCTAAGTACTTTTTCGTAGTTTTTAGTTTTCGGATTTGAAAGATCGTCGGTTAGAGTGGCCTGCTTACTGAGCAGAAAAACGCGGTCCCAGGTCCTTACATATCAAAGAAATTTATGGTAAAATCGCTTGTGTATCGTGTATTTTGCGAAACTCGTTGTTGTCGTTGGTTCCGGGTTTGAATGGATACAAAAATTTGAGAAACGGTATTATGTGATATGAGGGGCTCGGTGGCCTTAGAGCAACCGTTTTTGCTTACTGAGCAGAACATCATGAGTCTAATCTCAGACCCATCCACATTCAAGATTCGTCAATCGTTTTATTTGTTAATATGACTACATGGTAATAACAGCAACTCGGTGATTAAAAAGGTGCTCGTCTGCCTAGTGGCAAACGTTTTTGCTTACTGAGCAGAAGACCGTGGGTTTAGTCCCAAGCTCCTTCGCGTTATATGATCGTTAAGACATCAATTCAGCTTATCGTTTACCAAAACGAACCCTGCTGCAAACCCAACCCTCTTATCCAACATCCCAGTGATTCCTCGTGGAAGTGCAGAGGTGTTCTCGGCTTCCATCAAAGCGAGTGTCATGTCAACACAATCCTTCCCATTCCTTTCTTGACCTGTGTTCGGGCGCGGCCGGCGCTGGTATTGCCTAATTTAAGATCACCAGTTTTTACACAT